ATGGAAGCAAAGAAGAGAGGTGAGGAGGAGAGCCAAGTGTCAGGGCTGCAAAGGAAAAAGGGGCCCATTCTGACGACTTGTTCCAGGGCAAAGGCAAATTCCAAATAAACTGTCATTCCCCATCACGACATCAAGGGTGAGCCGAGAAAAACAGTATTTCGCGGAACGACATTCAGGGAAGTGATTCGCGAGCCCTGTGAGTACCTGGAAGTGCTTCCACGCATCCCCCGGGGGAACAGAGACACGGGCCAGAAACACAGTGAGTGGAGGCGGCGACGGATCCCCAGGGTCATACACAAACAGCAGGAGGACAGGCAGGCTCCTAGGCCCCACGCGCCAAAGGCTGAGTGCCCAGAGGAAAGGGACAGGACTCAACCCCTTCCCCAGCCCCACCCCTCACACGTCAATCTGGCTGCTGACAGCTCAAGGAAATGGAGGGCCAGGATGGGAAGGGCAGCAAAGATGAGGAGATCAAGAGAAAAATAAACCAAAGCAGTGGGGGGGTCACAAGCCCAGGTGGCTGTCTCCTATAATGGCGTGGACTCTGCTTCACCCCAGTTCTTCGGGTCTCATTTAGGAAAAGCTGCTTGACCCAATGAGAGAGAGGTTGCTGAGATGTGGTAACAGATACTTTCTGTCCTAGGAGCTACAAAGCCCTGTGTCCACATCTGCCACACTTGGTCTCAGGCAAGCAGCTCGCAACCACCTCACCAGGGCACATGTGTCAAAAGGGAGAAAATTCTAAAGCCAAAGACTCCTTAAGCAGGAGCTGGGTCTCCTCTCTGTGCTCCCTTCCCTAACCTTTCAGGCCTGGGTCTACCTGTTGGCACAACCCATATACTCAGAGGTTATTCCTCCAAAGCTACAAATTCCCCCCAACCCCCTGGACTTACAGCCTTACCAAGTGGCTGTGCGCTGCTTCCCACTGAGGGACGTGGAGGGTTCAGGGGAACAAACACAGCAAGGTGAGGTGTTCCTTAAAACTCAGGTGACTTCTGTCAAATCCCAGCTCCACCACCAACCATCATGGAACCTGAGCAGCTACTTACCGTCACGAGTCTTCCCTCAGCAGGAACAATGACAATACTCATTTGTCTCACTGAGGGTCAAAATTCAAAGTGGTATTATGAAAGATGTTCAGCCCTAAGGACCATAAAGAAGTTTTATTATGGCTATCAAAAACAGGGAGGCCACCCTTTGGGCCATGTCCCAGGCAGCTTGCTCTGGACAGCAAGGAGCAGGATGCTTTGGGGAGCTGCTCCTGGGGGAGGGGGCGTGCAGGTTCATAAGGGTCATGACCTGGCCTGATAAAAAAAGGAGGCTTCATTTCCAAGAGGGAAGTGGTATAAGTAAAATGGCACAGAGGCAGACACCCCAGTAGCACTGACCCTGCACAGAGCCCTGTGGCCAGGGAGATAGAGAAGTTCACCCAGAAAGTGCTAAATGAATTGGGGGCAACAGGGAGGGAGAAGTCAGCCCCACTCCAGGGATTCACAGAGCTAATAAAGTTGAGAGGCCTTCAATGGTGGCCAGAGAGCAAGAAGGGGAGGAAAGAAAGGAAAACGTGGCACCAGGGTGGCCTGAGCAAAGGCACTGGAAGGAAAGCACAGCGTGTGTCTGGGTGAAGCTGGAGTGTGGCTGTGCATAAAGGGCATGAGAGAGACCTGAGGAGGAGCCTGGAGGTAGGTCAGGGCTGAACCTTGGAGGGCCTAGAATTCCAACTTCAGACCGTTTAGACCCTGGCCTTGCCCATGGGCAGTGCGGACATACTAAAGGTTTCAGTCACAACTAGAAAGAGCACAGGCAGCTGACTGAGTGCAGAGGTGCCAGAGGGTATACAAACAGAATTGGAGATTCCAGTCCTGGGTGCTGGAAATGGGCACCAAAGCATTGCCATAGCAAATACAAACCCACCTAGCCCGCCGGGCCTGCATTCCTCACCCCTTTGGTAACTTTTATGATCGTTAACCCACAAACATCTTGCATTTTTATTTAGGGCTGGTGCTGCCAGGTGGCAACCTGCCCTCCTGTCACCTTGGGCGGTTTTAGATTCCTTTTCCTGATTAAAGCATGAGGAAGTGGGGCCTCCCTGGCGGTGCAGTGGATTGAGCGCCACGCTGTGAAGCTGTCCACAGCCTCTGCAGTGCAGGTTTGATTCCCCGCTGGCCAGGGAGCAACCCACATGGCGCAGCAGACCTCTCCTGTCTCGCCCGCTGCTCCCCTGAAGAGTGTCTTTGGTGTGTCTGCCTTTTCTGCTCCCCATTCTGTCTCTGGTGAATTCTCTCACCCTCCCGTACCTCTGACCTGTACCCCAGTTCTTGTATAAATAATTTTTTTTAAAAAAGCATGAGGAAGTGCAGCATGCACCCCCCATCTCCGATGACATCGCGGTAGCAACTCAGCACCAAGGTCCCAGTGTCGGGTCGCAGGTAGAACGTCTGTGCCTCTTATCAGCACCCTGATGCCCCAGAACCCTAATAGAATCCTCAAACACTGGTGAGCTAAGGCAAAAGGAGGGATGGAGACCTGAGGACAAACAACAATGCTTGCTCTTCTCTGTCTCAACAGGTAAACTTCTCCATCCCACCCCCACTTATGGTGAGATGTTAGTTGTTATGGTCATCAGAGGGACCTAAACCCAAAAGGGGTGGTTAATAGCTTATATGGACAAGGGTAGGAGCCATGAAAGCTCACCCCAGTAAGTGAGCAAAATGCCAAAGTGCATCTGGCCACTAAGGAAAGCACACTTTGGGATAAGCCCTGAGCTAGGCAGTGTCCAGCGCCAGGCAGCACAGTGGTGGCACTGGTACAAGTTGGCTTGCTTAGCTGTTCTGCCAGCTTGGACTGGGTAGCAGGAGCATAAAACCGCTATAGGACATTTGGAAATTGTTGTTTGAAACTGGAGGGGGTGTTGTTTATATAAATTATGTCACAGGAATTTTTAAGATGGTGGCTAGATTTCACACCGCTATTTGTTTAGACTTTAGAAAACTTGGCATCATCAGTAACTCTTATAGCCTCCTTACCCAAGTATATATTTTAATCTAATTTATATGCCACCCAGACCAGAGCTGTTTTCTGCTTGGGCAGACTTGTGGGAGGCCATTAGATGCCTTGATGAATGAGATCTGACATCACTGTGTCTGTAGCCTCTCACTCAAATACTGATAAAGCACAGTCAAAAAGAGAAAGAAGATGCAGCTGGCACGGTATGTTTTTAGTAATCCCTGCTGGCTCCTGGTGACCGTGGCTGCCTCTTCCAGGTGCTCACTGCATTGCTTTATTAACAGGATCCTGAATCTTACTGTGATCAATGTGTGTTCACCGGCATCACACAAATACTCCTGATGGCTGGGCTTAAACAATACCGGTTGGATTGCAGTGACCTGGATTCTGCAGCACATTTACCTGTTCTCTCTTATATTCCCAATATTTTTCTGAGATGACCCACAACTCTTGAGCTGTCTAGCTAGCAGATTTTCTTAAAGCCATGGTCCGTGCTTACTTGGTCAAAGGACTCAAAGAGCCTTGAGTGGTTTGCCTGCAACATGCTCTCCCACCTTGAGCTTTGGTTCCCCCAGAATAGGTCTGTTCTGTTCTTTCCTGCCTAATAGACTCAGTCCCCCACCCTCATCTCATAACTTCTACTGCCTTCCTACCCCAGTGGTCACCTCAATCTCTAGGACCAGACAAGGCTCCTTTCTGCCTTGAAGTCCCAGTTCACTGGCTCCAGCTGAGAAGGCCCATGTCTCCCTCTAGTCTTTAGAACCTGATTTATCACCCGGTTCTACCAAGCCTCTTCTGCTGAGCTTCCAAAGCTTTTAGCAGCCACCTTCCATTCACATGCTATGTGGGGCTGACTGGGCATGGAAGCTTCAGGACAGGCGGAACTGGGATCTTACAATTTTTAAAATCTCTTTGCAGCAACTGGTGCAGTACTATGCCACAGCAGTCCATAGAACTGCCTGCTCTTTCTAGTCTTCCTCTGGTCCAGGGGAAGGCATGTAACTTGGATGGAAGCTGTCAACTACCAACAATCTCATTACCTAAAGCAGATCCAAGTTCATCTGGTAATGCAATGGACATTGGGTCCTTTAGAAATGGGTAAACTCTGTCTCCTCAGATGTATTTCAATGAAATTTAGTCTACAGATAAGCTAGGGTTATTATTGCACCAGGAAATTAAAGTCTAAAGAGAGGAATTTAAGCATTCAAGATAAATTTGAAATATCAAAGTTATGCTCTTGGAAAAACAATCATGCTTCTTACATAGACTAGAAATAAGCTATTTCAGATAATCCATTGAAATAAGTTATTTCAAAAACAAAACACTGCCTCCTAAATCAATCTGATTCTCCAGGTTGTGGTGATGAAGGATGCTATGTTTTCAATGTCAGTTCGTTAAGCAGGGTTAAACCCGACACACACCCAGATCATTGCCGTTGCTTTAATAATGCAGTGAGAAGCTCTCTTTTCACAGACCGGTCCAGCCCACATGGTACTTAGAGGCCCGGGGGGGGGGGGGGTCAGATTTCCCCAGACATTTGTTGGGGGCTGGCATTCAGGCCGAAGCCATGGGCACTGTCTCCTGCAGGTGCCCCAGAAGATGCAGTTAGACTGGGAAACTTCAGCTGCTGAAAAATCTGACATTTAAATGAGTGCTTTTACTTTTAAAAGGCAAAACATGCAGTCACTCCAAAACAGGAAATAACCAGTGCTTTACTGGGGATGTGGGGAAAATTGAGATTGTGATTTTTCTCTCAATTTCGTTGGAAGGCTTTTCCAAAAGAAAACCAAACTCCCCACCCAGCAATTTCCCCTACCTAAAAGAGCTGATAGCTGCGAGCAAGCAGACTGTATAACATTTAGATTTATGAACTATTAAGATACGAGTGTGGCGTCAGCAGGATGGAAACCACCAACTGACTAGGCAATTACTTCCTTTCCTTCACCCATATTTACAATCTCCCCGCCCCTCCCGCCTTTTTTCTAGAACCTCACCTGGTTGATAACGTAGATGCCATAGTCCAACTGCTGCCGCTGCAGGATTGGGTGCAAGTAATAGAGCCAGTACTTGAGATGCTCCTGCCGGTTGCGGAATGGAATAATGATGGCCACCTTGTGAGGAGAGATGCAGTCCTTGGGGCTGTAGCGGCCGCCCGCCTTCACTTTCGGGTTCTGTTTCTCCACAAGCGTCAGGTCCACTTTTATATTAAAATCGATTGGCATGGGGCCGACTAGAGAGGTGGAGGGAAGGAGAAGTTAGCAGGCCACAGGACTTGTGGCTCCACATTGTCAGATGGCCAGGCTGCCGCTGCAGGAGACATCTCTTCCTGAGACGCAGAGTGGTCGTGGAAAAGGCACTCACGTCCAGCACTAGGTGTCATGTCCAGCATTAGTGTGACCAACCACCCCAGAAAAATCCTCACAGCTGTGTGGCCTTTGTGCAGGTTCTCTCTGAGCCTAGCCTAGTGGGGAAAGGGGTGTGTGTGTGTGTTGGGGAGGTCAGTGGAGCAGGCTTCAATAAGAAAGTAGTAGGGAGTGGCATGAGGTCCTGCTCCCAGCTGTCCATTAAGAATCTCTTGGCTCGGGCCTCCCTGGTGGCGCAAGGGATAAAGACGCAACCTATGAAGCTCGCCATAGCCACTGCAACACAATTTTGATCCCCGGCCAGGGAGATACCCACATGGTGCAGCAGACCTCTCCTGACTCACCTGCTACTCCCCTCAGCAGGGTATTTCAGTAGATCTGCCTGTTCTGTTCCCCGCTCTGTCTCTGGTGAATCCTCTCACCACCCACAACTCTGCCCTGTACCCCAGTTCTTGTATGTATGAATAAATAAATCTAAAAAAAAAAAAAAAAAAGAATCTCTTGGCTCTTTGCTAATTACCTAGGTCCTTCCCAAGAACGTCAACTCAGACTCTCCAGGGGAGGGACTTGAGAGTCCATATTCAAGTCCCAGGAAAGGACCTGATGGGAGGGGCTGGAAAGCATGAGGCCCCAGAGGAGACTGAGAGGAAAGAGTGAAGAAAGAGCTGGAAAGAGCACCAAAGACGAATGCCTAATACAAGCAGAGTGTGCAGATAGCAAAGGGGATGAAGAAGGGACGAAGGATTAACTCCAAATTTCTGGCTTGGAAGAACATGGCGCCAGACTATGGTGATAGAAATAAGTAAGACAGCTCCTGGTGTAGAGGAAAGCTGATGAGATAAAGATGGTTGATACTGAGTGAGCAGTAGGTTCGGAGTAGAAAAAGTGGGAAGGTGAAGGTGCAGAGGCAGACGTGGAAGTCCTTATCTCCTGAGGAGAAACAGGTTGTGCCAAGAGAGGGCTGCACTTCTCGAAGGCTGGGAACTGCCTCACGTGCCACACACAGAGAGGCAGAAGCAAAACGACTGGCCCATGGCACACAAAGAATGGGGGAAAGGGTCAACACTCCAGCCTAGGTCCTCAGTACTCCCTGGAGGCCAGACTTTCTCAAAGTGGGTTCCAGGAAACACAAATCCCAGGGCGATACTCAATGGAAGGTCAAATATGGGTGGGAACCCTGCACTCTAAATCCTGCTTCTTGAATGTCATGAGGTATATATACCAAAGACTCTGGGAAGGTGTATAATCAAGAGCTCCACGCTTCACTTTATTTAACCCACCATTTCCAAACTCTTGTGGCCACGGAGCTAATTAGTTAGGATACTTTGGGGACTACACACTACTCTGGCGCAAGAAGCTTCACTGCAAAGTGAACTGTCTACAAAAAAACTACCTACAAAAGAAGGACCCCTACAGAACAGAGGGGAAACACTAACCACAAACTCAGAACAAGTTCACCTAAAACACACCTGTGAGAACCACCAAGGCCCAGTGCGAAGCCCTCTGTTGCTTGTTTACCAAGTACCCCCTAGTCCCCAGAAATCACTCACCCCCCTGAAATGAGACATTCTGAGAACAGGAAGCTAGTTCCTCTTGCCCCTCCTGCTTCACACCAGGTGTGCACTTGCCACCTCCTGCTCTCCCCTCCCCAGGACTCCTGCTCTCCCCTCCCCAGTACTCCTCACAACCTCCCTCCCTCCAGCCCCATCATCATGGGACCCACTCTTTTGCATTTATTTTCTCCTGCGATACAGCTCTGATCACATCACTTTCCCACTAAAAACCTCTGATGGCTCTCAAGCTGTGTTGTTTTGGACAAAGGTCAGGCCAAGCCTCTTAGCTTGGCAACAAGGCCCTTCACTCTCAACTCTACCTATACGCCCCTTGATGCACCCCCCCCATCCCTATTAACCATGCCTAGGACAACACTTTGCCAGAAATGCCCTTTTTCCTCTTACTGGTAACCTGTTGCATTGATAGGCTACAATCTCAAAATCAAACCTCCAGTGGGCTTCATCCTTCTCCTCTCTACATTGCCACAGAACTCAGACAGCAGCAGACCACCTGGGACAGGAGACTCTCAGGGCTCCAAAAGCCCTGGTCCCTCCCTGGCCTCTAGGGAAGGACCAAGGCCTCACAGCTCAGTCACTACAGAAGGGCCTGCTGACCTAGCTCCAATATCCTAAGGTACCTTCAGCTAAGCAGTCACTCTGCCCCACCACTAAGAGGTCACCTTGGACCAGTTTTTTCCAAACCTATCATCAGAATCTCCTGAGGTACTCTGTAAAAATATGGACTCTCAGGCCCCTCCCCTAGAGAGTCTGACTTGACTGATCTTGGAAAGGACCTAGGTAATTAACAAGGAGCCAGGAGATTCTTCATGGACAGCTGGGAACAGGACCAACCCCCGCCCTTCACAAGCCTCAGGGCTTTTATGGAGGTAGCCCTTCCCCAGGAGCCCCACGAGGCTGGACTCCCCAACCCTGAGGATAGGCTTTTGGGAGGCCTTGCTGCACAGCACTTGTGAAAAACATGAAAGCTCCGTCATTAGGCTCTTTTAACTTCAGAGGGCCCCACAACATCTGCAACTACCCAGGACCATCTGAAGATGTTGCTAAACATAACTGCATTTTCAGGAACCCAAAAGACATCTGGATTGTCACCTTACTAACTCACACCTTCTCTAACCAACCAGAAGGCACGAATTCACACTGGGCCTATCTAGCCGCCCCAGAGTAGACACCTTCAGGCTGGAAAGCAACTTAGCTTCACCCTTCTGGAGCTCCAGAAAGGTGGTCCGGAGGTAGTTTCCTCTATAGGAAAGGATGCCTGAGCCTGGCTCAGCTCCATCAGTGGCTTGCTGAATGATCTTTGGGCAAATACCACCCTCTCTCGGCATGCTGGTTTCCCATCTGGAAACTCAGGAATTGGAACTCAACCTGCCTCCAGTGAATGCTATTGAAACACCCTCACCCTGCCCTTACCGCCTATGACCAAACCTGCTTCTCTGGGATCCCACCCGTGACTGACACCACTGTCCAGCCTATGAGAAGAACTGAGTGGTTCATCTTCCCCTACCTCTCCCCTTATCCCCAGCACACTCAGCCACACACAGGAGGTGACACCAGCATGTGACAACCCATGGGAGCCTACTCAGGTGCCAACCAGAGTCTTTTCTAAAGCACCTGTTTATAAAGACTTTCCTGCAGAAGTGTCAAGGCCACTTCTAATTTGTTTTAATCAATATTCTCTGGATACCTAATGTGGTGCCAAGTTGTGTGCCAAGTCCGAATATGCGGTATTGAGAGGAGGGGATAGGATGGACAAGATAGTTCTGGACTTCAAGGAGCTCCCTGATAAGTGTGTGGCAGAACCTAGTGAGAACCACACTGGCTCACGGCTGGCCAGCAGCAGAGCTTTATCCCCACACTGCCTCTTCTCCCTCCCCTGCTCCTCTGCCCCTCTCACATCATGTCTCCAACCCTTCTCGCCCAATCTGGCAATTCTTTCCTTACCTTCTCTCTTTACAGCCTGCACAGCTCTGAGAATTGTGCAGCTTATACAAGTGAACAGTGATTGAACAGTGTGGGCTGTCAGTGGCAGCTCCAGGCCTGGAGCCAAATTACCTTCTTGGGTTCAGTGCCAACCAGGAGGCCTCCCTGAGTACCCTGCAACACCTCCTGCCATGCTTCGGGGGCCATCCTCCACTGCGTGCCTGGTTCTGTCCCAGGGAAAAAATCCGGAGAGCACAGACTCCAGAGCAGTGAGCAGCTCTACTCAGAACCACGCAGCCCTGCTACCAGATCTCAGAGCCACTGCCCAGAGTCTCAGGGGGAGGTGAAGGGAGCAAGCGGAGGGCTGAGGGCTCTATGACAGTCCTCAGGCCAAGCCAAGGCTCCCTTGCTGTGCGGCGCACGGCGTGTGCTACCACAGGCCCTCGGCCCTGCTGGGCTGGCTTGTGTGTTTTCTTGGCTCTGGAAGCTGGGAAGCAGGGTTACGTAAGCAGATGAGCAGATGTGAGCCTGTCCTCGGCTCCCCCGGCTAAAGCCCCGCCACGTGGGCCTCTCGGCTGGGAGTCCAGGTCATGGCCTTGCGTGTAAGTCGCTCAATAACTTCAATGTGTGAGCTCAACTCAGACAGATTCCACTGCTTCCCTTGCCCGGCCCGGCAAGCCCAAGCACACACATGCCCTTCCATCAAGCCCTGCTAATCTAGAGTCAACCCAGCACAGACTCCATGCCTCACGTTCACGCTGGCTGAACCCCCCGTTCAGTCCTTGAGCCTCAGTTAAGTAGGCAGGAACATCTAGTTACCGCTTCCAACAGACCAGCCAGTGTTTCAGGGTACAATTCCTGCCCTGATGCTGCCTGGAACAATGTTTCACCAGCCTGGGACAAGACAGTAGACAACGGTTCTTCTTCATTAAAGCTAAATGTCATCGATGTATCTTCCTCCAAGATTAAGTGCTTCTTACTCTTTAAATGTTAAAATGTCCCTTTCAAAATGAAATGATCATGGTGGATTTTGATGCTGGATTGATTTTTATACTTTTAATTTTATGAAAAAAAACATTTGGCAGTTGTTGGTCAGGCCCCTAAGTTTCTTTTGAAATTTTCCCAGCCAGTGAAATTCAAACATTTGAGAACTATGGGGCTAGGCAGTGCCCAGAGCTTTATGGTTCTAAAAGTTGGGGCGCTTGAATATTTCTCTTAGCCAGGTCTCAGTCTGGCTAGCACCCAGCATAGCCCCCTTACAAACCAGCCCCCTGCCACCACGGAATTGTTTCAGCCTCACTTAGGAGGGCTCTTTCCCTCTGTACCAATCTTCCAAAGGCCAGCTATGCCCCAGAAACTGAGCCAGGTACTACCCATCCCCCAGGCTGGGGAATGAGAGCTGTTTGCA